CGGCTCAGCCAATCAGAATCAAGGACCGGAACTATCCGCTTTATAATATAAAAAAAAAAATAGTTTAACCTGTCTAAACAAATTTACTAAAATAACAAAAATGAAGTAAAAATGAACAAAAACTATATATGTCGTTTTACTACTAAAACTGAAAAAATGCACACAAAAAATGTCAAAACTTTACTAAAATGATAAGGAAAACAGAAAATTTAAAAATAGATACTGATTCAAAACAGTAATGAAAATGGTAGCAGTATGTCATCAGTATCACAGTCTCAGAATGAACATTAGTGCTGTTTGTTCTCACCGCTGATGGTGACAGACGCCTGTGCTTCTTCTCCCAGCAGCGGCTGGCTCAGTCTGCAGCTGTAAGTGCTGCTGGGCTCCAGGATCACCGTCAGGACGCTCTTCACGCTGAACAGGAGAACACTGAAAAAAGTCCCCTGATTCAGATGGTCCTGAAGCTGCAAAAACAAACTAGCATGACTAACAACAGCCAGCATCAGGACACTGAAATATTCATCCACGAAATTCGGCCCAACCAAATTATAAAAGCACAAAAAGAAAATTATCTAACATATTGGACTGAAACAACAGAAAAACTAAGTAAACTTGAATGTTATTTGGCCCTAAATAGAGATTACACAGCTCGGAGCTGCGATGGACCGAGAGAGAGAGAGAGAGAGAGAGAACACTGAAAAAAGTCCCCTGATTCAGATGGTCCTGAAGCTGCAAAAACAAACTAACATGACTAACAACAGCCAGCATCAGGACTCTGAAATATTCATCCACAAAATTCGGCCCAACCAAATTATAAAAGCACAAAAAGAAAATTATCTAACATATTGGACTGAAACAACAGAAAAACTAAGTAAACTTGAATGTTATTTGGCCCTAAATAGAGATTACACAGCTGCAGAATCTGAGTACAGTGCAAGACTGTAAATTAAGAAGACGAGGTACAGACTGAGCAATCACACTCCGACTATAGAGACGAGCAGATATCCACAGCACTGGCTGCCCAAAGAGAGCCGCATCTGCCCTTACTGTAATCACAGAGCTGCCCCAACTATCAACACATTAGAAACACATTGTATCCCAAATTTGAAGTAATTTGCCCTGACTTCAAAATGTAAAAAAGAAATAAAACACAACTTCAGTATTTATTAGGTGAAAAACAAGATTGTATCTTACTAGCAGCAAGATACATTGATGCCTGTCACAAAAAGAGGGAGGAGTCAACAAATCAGTGATGCGCCTACACACACATACATACACACACACACTCATACACACACACACACCACACACAGTCACGCACACACTCACGCACACGCACACACACACACACTCACACTCACACTCATACACACACACACACTCACACACACACACACACACACACACACACACACACACACACTCTCTCACACACTCACACACACACTCACACCACACACTCACACACACACACACTCACACTCACAAACACACACACACACACGCACACAAAAACACTAAACTAAAACCGAAATAAAAATAAATTAAACCTTAATAGTAAAATAAAAATATTAATAAATAAAAATTACAAAAATACATACCAAAATTACTTAAACATAAAATATAAAAGTAAAAGCTACTTCAAAATATTAATAAAAACTACAAATAGCACAAAAAAAACACTAAAACAACAAAACATCCCAAACCATAACATGGTCAAAAAAAGTTTACAGTTTAAATACTATAAGTTTTGACAAAAAACAAATAGCTGTATATAAAGACAAAACTCACTTTTCAACCATTGTTTGAAAAAAAAAAAGATATATATATAA